GTGAGTGCGTGAGTGCGTGAGTGCGTGAGTGCGTGAGTGCGTGAGTGAGTGAGTGAGTGAGTGAGAGTCAGTGAGAGTGAGTGAGAGTGAGTGAGTGAGAGTGAGTGAGTGAGTGAGTGAGTGAGAGTGAGAGCGAGAGTGAGTTTGAAGCAGCGCATCCCCGTGTACAGACGAGGTATATCATTCGCGTGTACAGATGAGTCACTTTTCGCGTGTACAGACGAGGCGCCGGCCTCCTACCTGGATCCCTGCTTTTCTTCCTTCCCTTCCCTTCCCTCCGACGAGGTGACCAGAGACCAAGGGGACCAGGGGACCAAGGGGACCAGAGGACCAAGGGGACCAAGGGGACCAGGGGACCAAGGGGACCAGGACGACCATGTGGACCAGGAGCAAGCATACAAGAGACGGGAAAGGAAAATAGTTATTTTTTGATTAGTTAATTAATTTGTTTTTGATTACGTAAATAATTTTTTTTGATTCAGTAATTAATTTCTTTTTGATACACATGCCCTCCGGGAGGGCGTTCGTGGATCCCGAGTGGATGGCTTGGATGTAGGTCGCAATCCAAAGGCCTGGGGATCACTGGCTACCGCCTTGTCCTTCTCCTCAGTGGTCACCTCCTTCACAAGCACTCCAGCCTTCTCCTTCGATCCAGCTCGGTCTCGGCCTTTGGGCTCAGGGGTATCCTTGCTTCCACTGCCTTCCTCCTTGACCCGCTTCCGGCGTGCTAGGGGAGGTCGATTCTCCTCCCCCGTTCCCTTCTTGTCACTGGTAGGGACTGTCTCCTCCTTCTTGGTCTCACCTGATGCTGCGGCTGAAGACGGGGCCTCCTCTCTCCTCGCTGGGCTTTGCTCTCGCTGCCTCAGCCCAAGCGCTTGGGCTCCCGGCTGCTCAGGAGGAACCTCTCCTCCTGTAGGTGCTCCCGATCCCTCAGGAGCCTCTGCTCGTAGTCGATCCAAATAAGCCCCCTCGAGGATCTGGGTGTACGCTCCCTGCAAGATCGGTGTTGCTCTCGCCCTCACCTGCGGAGTGGAACCCTCGTGGAACAACAGTAAGAATAACCGCTGTACCACAGAGCAACACGGGCAGCCGCAGTTGTCGACGCTATGGCTAGGTCGACGGCCTCCCAACAGCGAGGAGGCCATCAACCACCCTGAAGCCACAACACTGCGGTTAAGAGTGTTGGGTCTCTCGTTTTTACGAACGATGCGAAACCCATATATGTATAATTATATATAATATTGATACACGATGATACACATATATAAATATAATTGTCGCGCCAATCTCTAAGTAAAACTTGATTTTGTGCGTTCCGCTCTTCGCCAAGTCGCTTGCATGCGCAAAACTCCAAGCTTCCCAGCATACTGCCTTCCGCATGCGTACAGGTGTTGCCCGCATTGCGCAAAACAAAGAGATCTCCTGGATGCGTCAAGCGAGTGCGGGTCAAGTCAACTGATGCGCAACTCGCGCGTCAAGTCAACAACAGCTCCCATGTCAACGTCTATAGTCAGTGGCTCTTCATGAGCTTCGAGGGAAATGCCAGCAAATCATATTCAAATGCCGGTAGACGATCAATCATAATCCATTATTATGTGGAACCTGGATTTGGATCCACCGCGTAGCATGAACAATCTTGGAAACTGAAAACAAAAACGAACTCACCACTTTTGTTCCAAAGCATCTGTCCAACCATCTCTGCAGGTCCAACAAAGACTCTAGTTTCCTGGAATGGCACCCAAGTAAAGCTCGGATTTGGGTGTGGCTGGCTCACACCAGGGAACCTCGACTCTGATACTTGTTGCATCTTGTTGCCTTGATGGGTTCTGACCTCTTGATCCTCTTGAGAGAAAAGAAGCCTGGGACGACGTCCGCTTCGCACGTTCTGCGCTGTGCGTTCTTACACCGCGATCAATGATCACGGTGGATCGCCGGAAAGCGCCCATCAAAACGCCCTACGTCAACGACCGGGCGGCGACCTGGGTCAACGACCTACGGCGGCACGAGTACGCGTGTACGCCGGAACAGACTGTCAGACGACCTCGGGAAGCGAGATCAAACAATAAACAAACGGAACAGCCGTCAGACAATAGCTGTGTTGCATTGCCCCAGCTGTGTTTTTCCATAAAAATCCATAAAATAGATAACATGTGAACCATGTTCTCCCTTCAAAGCCATCTTTCCCACGCAGACTGAACTGTATAGCTCTTGAAAGTGGTGATTCTCCAACACTATGGCACAGATTCCAAGGATCAGGTTTGGTTCCTCTTTTAAACCTCCCAAGAAGGAACCCGAAAAACGGTCGTCTTCGCACCGAAAGACCTCCCTCGCCTGGCATGGAATCAAAGAGGGTATCCACTGGCGCTCGGGAGTCGGCGCAGCCCAGCACCGCGGTGTGGGGCGCTTGCCCTTGATAAACCAGAGCTTCCTGAGCGCCACTGGTGTGAGAGGTGACAAGGTCCCTGGACGTGACGAGGGACCGAAGGTCAGGCGCAAGCGCCCCAAAAGGGGTCGTGCGCGGACGGACGACGTCGGGGTCGTGGACGAGTTCACGTAAAGGTCACCGGGTGGGGTGGGTACATCATATTACAGTATATCATGCTATATCCCATAACCAGTAATTAATGATAGATGATGATCAAAAAGAATCAATCAAAAAGAGTGAAAATATCCCACCGACTGTCACCCTACGTCTGGGCACCAAATCCCACCCAAACGAGCGGCAAAAGGTCCTTGCTTCTATCGACCACACAGCGGCTGACGCCCCAAAGAAATGCGGCAGTGTCGTGACCACACACCCCATCGTTTAAGAAGGAATACTTCTGGATTGTTTGTGAATCTTGACACAAACACAGAAGCTGTTTGAATCTTGGCCACCTTAGTTGAAGATGTTGAAGCTGAAGACAGGAAGCAGGTCGCGAGTCGCAGCTATGTTCGTTTTTGCCCACCTTAACCTCGAAGCCACATGGACCGCAAAAAACACCTTTTTTGTGGTCCAAGTTTCCCTCATGGAATCATCAGCAGCCATGGCCAGTGGGGTTCCCAGCACGAAACGGTTGTTCCTCAGGCGACGAGGTGACCGGAAAACGGCCGTTCGACCGGCCGTTTTCAACGGGGCATGCTAAATTACCGGCAGCTAGCGTGTTTTCAACCAGGGATGAAAAAGACCCATGGTTGCATGTTGTTTGAGATGTAGGGTAAAGCCACATACTTTGATGTGGAAACACGGTGATGAAGAACGGTGACAGGAGAACACTGGTTGCAAATATACCTCGTACAAGGTAGACGACGAGCGTTTTTCCTGCAGTATAAAAATTGCGCAAAGAAGCTTGCCCGTAGACTCAGACAGGATGGTACACGAAAGGTGAACCTGAAAGAAGAATTAAGACAGGGAGAGTCGGGGCAGGCTTCTCTCATTTTATGCTTGCCTGAGTTCAAACATGTCTATTTGTCCAGGTGCTGACATTCATCAAATGGTCTGTGTCTTCATATGCGTTCGAATGGTCACTCTCCTTTCTTATGTTGGACACAGTTTGCTGGTCATCCTCTTTCCTTGTCAGAAGGCCTTCCTTCGTCGGACCTGCCCGTCGGGTCTGGAATGGTCTGGACGGTGACCACCACCCGGTCACCTTCGATGCGTGACCGGCACTTCTTCGATGGACGGTCCTGTTCGAAGCGTCTACGCAAAACAACTTTGAGAGGCTCCGAAAAATGTTAAAGACAGGAAAAAGAACTAAAACCTTTGCTTGGGTTGGGTAGGAAGGGTGGATGGATGGATAGATGGAGAGTCTTTAGCGATCACGAAGCGCAAAACGGAGCAACAAGTAACACCATTGGGTAGCTAGTCGGGTAGGTGGGTAGGGTAAAATGTTGATTCTGGGCAGAGCAGTGAAATGGACATTTTAATGAAGTGGCACGTGCCCTCCGCTTGTCTTCCCTGCTTTCTTTCTTCCTTGATTGCTGCCTTGGCTACCTTGGTCCTTTCCTTTCCTTCCTTGTGTTTGTCATTGATTGATCAGTTTTTGCTGTTTCTAAACCTTTATTTGTGTCCTCGTTGTCTTCGTTTAATCGCCTCCATCCTTTTGTATTGTTTCTGGGTAAAGTGCTGGTTTCTTTGCAAAGCTCATGGTAATTTGCTTTGTTGATCTGTATGCTGCAGAAGTAAACGTAACAGCATACTTTGTGTATTCGATGTTGGTGCATCAATCTCTATGAGCACTTGAGGATGGCATCGGCATCGGTGTCAGTCTTCGGACAAAAGAAACATGACTAAACGTCACTTGAACACATTGCCAACCATTATTTTAATACTATACTTGATATATTATATACAATGTATATATATATATAGAAAACACACACACAATAACCAATAATAAATGTATTAATATATACGTGTATATATATATACGTATAGATATATAAAGAGAGAGAGAGAGAAACACAATTCATATATATGTCCTAGATCTGGCGCTAAAGAGATCGACCAAGCCAGCTGTGGTGCACTGATGACACAGCCAGCGTTATATGGGCTATATTATGACAAGAGAGTGACAGCCCAACTACCAATCAACCATCTGGCCATTCTGCTCCCAATCTTCCCTTCCTTGAGCATTTCCAGGGCCTCCTTGGCCGACATCCGGCCATCGTAGGCCGTGCGAACGCCACGCACGCCGGAGCCTCGAGCAGGTAAGCTGTCATCCCGGGCCACAGACAATGGCAAAGGTATCTTCGAGGACAAGTACTCCTCAGGGAGGGGAGGTCATGCGCCACAAGATGAGGAGAAACATCAAGACAAAATGAGAAGACATAATAAGAAGAACATGCAGACGAGTCATTATCTGTTTGTTAGCTGTTCCTTTCTTTTTCGGCTCATGTTTCAGATGCGGGGAAGTTTGAGAAGCAACTCCAGCTGATTGATCTAGGATGCCTCTCCGATGCCTAAGGCACCTCAGGCTCGGCTGTCCAGAACGGAGACGAATAAAAATGTGTTTGGCTGCTAAGACTCATCTTGATCAGGTGAGCAACCTAAGAAGTCTACCCTTCCAGATGGCAGGTCATAGATGGCACCTTGAATTTCCAGTTGTCTGCTTCGGACCTTTTCCCGGATTGGCCCACTAAACTTCAACAAAAAGTTGACCGTGTGGAAGACATTGAGCTTCACCGCATGGTGTGCCACATCTTCGATGGAACCTTGGGGGAGTGCTGGGACAATGCTCACACAGGGATCTGTTCGATGAACCTGGGGGGCAAAAAGGCTGGAATCTCAAAAGTCCATTCAATACAATTTCCAACTTCAATATTACAATCATCAATCCAATATCAAACACAATCTCCAATCTCAAATTCAGAATGCAGTCACCATCTTCTACAGTGCCAAATCCTGCGATCACAATTAGACCCTGCAAAAGAAAAGTAAGTGGTAGGATTCTGCTGTCTTTCCTTCCACCAGTCGGTCTTTTTCAGTAGTAACTACACCGACTAGAAGCTAATTACTAGGTGGGGCCATCGCTATTAGGTTGGAGGCCATCGCTACTAGTAACAAGAAGCTACTAGTAGCAAAGACGGTTCAGATAGGTGTGGGAGTTCTCCACAAAACTCTACGTGGTGTGTCTCTGGAAGACCACCTCGGCAACGATCCCCTTGGAAGAAGAGAAAGAACTAAACCAACCGCATACCAACACAAGAAGCTACGAACGGGGCTCCTGGCCGTACTACTAGGAGCGATCGGACGCTACTACTGGGCCAGGGGCTCCCCCATTGGGCCAGGGGATCTCCCTCTTAAAATCTCTTAAAACACACCTTGCCAACTGTGGGTCCATTGGGCGCCAAGAAGCGATCGACGCCTAATTCGCCGGCGGCTTGCTCAGCCACACAGGACAAATCTAAGAGCAAACCATCAAGGGCACTGGAGGCAGTGATGACCTGTAACGCTGCGCTGGGCATTTTCTGTTTCGCCTCCACTCAACTATGCACAAATTCTTGGATATAGTATAGTATATAGATGGTACTGTAGTACGTAGGGCCAGTAGCAGTTGGTAGGCGTCATGATGCTGGATTCTGGGGGTCCAATGGAATTGAATGGGGTTGGCAAACTCCTTGGGAGCAAGCCGATGGAAGGGACCTTTTCGGGGGAACTGAGGCAAGTTTGCGGCAAGTTTGCTCCACTCAACTTGGGGTTTCATCCACAAAACGTTCCCAGGTCTTGACATTTGACCCAAATCTTGCATCAAACAAATCATCCCAAAATGAAAAATTTTGGATCCCGCACCTCTTGGCTGTTGGATCTGGCTTCCAGTGTGTCAAAGTAGGACTGGGTCGCGCCATAGACGGCTGAACAGTGGCTGTGTCCCAGCACCAGGATCAGTCGGCTACGGAGCTTTCCAATGCAGAACTCCAAACTGCCAACCATGCTGCCTGCAGACTGGGCGGTCGACGGTCGCTGCACCGCACCAGACCCAGCAGGGGTGACGGTCAAACAAGGAGGTATATAAACGAGCGACGTGGCAAAGCGTGTCCGCAAGTGATTGCACGCTGGTACGCTGGTACGCTGGCGGTGGCTAGCTGCGCTGATGACGCTGGTTACGCTGGTTACGCTGGTTACGCCGATTACGCCGATTACGCCGATTACGCTGGTTACACCGATTACGCTGGTCACACTGGTTACGCTGGTTACGCTGCTTACGCTGGTTATGCTGATTACGGTGTAGACGGTGTAAACGGTGTAAACGGTGTGAGACGGTGTAGACGGCGTGAGACGGTGTAAACGGCGTGAGACGGTGTAGACGGCGTAAACGGTGTAAACGGTGTAGACTATAGATGGGGTAAACGGTGTAGACGGTGTAAACGGTGTAGACGGTGTAAACGGTGTAGACAGTGTAGACGGTGTAAATGGTGTAAACGGTGCAGACGGTGTAAACGGTGTGGACGGGATAAGCGGTGTAAACGGTGTAGACGGTGTAAACGGTGTAGACGGCGTAAACGGTGTAAACGGTGTAGACGGTGTAAACGGTGTAGACGGCGTAAACGGTGTAAACGGTGCATGTAGACGGTGTAAACGGTGTAGACGGTGTAAACGGTGTAAACGGTGTAAGCGGTGTAAACGGTGTAGACGGTGTAAACGGTGTAGACGGTGTAAGCGGTGTAGACAGGGTAAACGGTGTAAACGGTGTAAACGGTGTAGACGGTGTAGACGGTGTAAACGGTGTAGACGGTGTAAGTGGTGTAAAGGGTGTAAACGGTGTAAACGGTGTAAACGGTGTAGACGGTGTAAACGGTGTAAACGGTGTAGACGGTGTAAACGGTGTAGACGGTGTAGACGGTATAAACGTGTAAACGGTGTAAACGGCGTAGACGGTGTAAACGGTGTAAACGGTGTAAACGGTGTAGACGGTGTAAACGGTGTTGACGGTGTAAACGGTGTAGACGGTGTAAACGGTGTAGACGGTATAAACGTGTAAACGGTGTAAACGGTGTAGACGGTGTAAACGGTGTAGGCGGTATACACGGTGTAGACGGTGTAAACGGTGTAGATGGTGTAAACGGTGTAAACGGTGTAGACGGTGTAGACGGTGTAAACGGTGTACCAAAAAATCATGGGCACTGATTGCGCCAGCAATGATATAAACCGTTTCAATTGGTGTGGGGGAGGGGCCAGGTTTCCATGCACCATGCCTTAGCAATTGAGTAAACAACTGGTGAACTCCATGCGAGTCTCAGAGTTCCCTCAACCATGCCCCGCGCATGCCCCGCATTTACAACATCAACCATATAAATCGGCCTCTCCACTGCCCTGTTCTTCGCGCCCGTTCGCCTTCGGCATGGGTGCAAGTGTTGCCAATATTCCGCAAAGCAAAGATGTCACCTGGGCATCGACTGAGCTCGGACTGTGCCAACGCGACTCCTCCACACTTTGGATTTTCTTCCAGACTTTGGAGTGAAAAAAGATGGAACCCACGAACCCGAATGCAAACACGTTCGAAAGGCTACATATGTCCAAATGACACTCTTGTGGGACACTCTTGTGGGACACTCTTGTGGGTCACTCTTGTAGGAAACTCTTGTGGGACACTCTTACAGGACACGCTTGTGGGACACTCTTGTGGGACACTCTTCTGGGACACTCTTGTGGAACACTCTAGTAGGAAACTCTTCTGGGACACTCTTATGGGACACTCTCGCGGGACGGGACACTCTTGTAGGACACTCTTGTGGGACACTCTTGTAGGTCACTTGTGGGAAACTCTTGTAGGACACTCTTGTGGGACACTATTGTGGGACACTCTTGTGGGACGCTCTTGTAGGAAACTCTTGTGGGACACTCTTGTAGGACACTCTTGTGGGACACTCTTATAGGACACTCTTGTGGGACACTCTTGTGACACACTCTTGTGACACACTCTTGTGGGACACTGTTGCGGGACACTCTTGTGGGACAGTCTTGTGGGACACTCTTACGTGACACTCTTGTAGGACACCCTTGTGGGACACTCTTAAGGGACACTCTTGTGGGACACTCTTGTGGGACACTGTTGCGGGACACTCTTGTGGGACACTCTTGTGGGACTCTCATACGGGACACTCTTGTAGGACACCCTTGTGGGACACCCTTGTAGGACACTCTTGTGGGACACTCTTGTGGGACACTCTGGGGACACTCTTGTAGGACACTCTTGCGGAACACTCTTACGGGACACTCTTGTAGCACACTCTTGTAGGACACTCTTGTGAGACACACTTGTGAGACACTCTTGTGGGACACTCTTGTGGGACACTCATACGGGACACTCTTGTGGGACACTCTTGTAGGATACTCTTGTGGGACACTCTTGTGGGACACTCTTGCAAGACACTCTTGTAGGAAACTCTTGTCGAATTCTCTTGTAGGACACTCTTGTGGGACACTCTTGTGGGACACTCTTGTGGGACACTCTTGTAGCAAACTCTTGTGGGACACTCTTGTAGGACACTCTTGTGGGACATTGTTGCGGGGCACTCTTAAGGGACACTCTTAAGGGACACTCTTGTGAGACACTCTTGTGGGACACTGTTGCGGGACACTCTTGTGGGACACTCTTGTGGGGCACTCATACGGGACACTCTTGTGGGACACTCTTGTGGGACACTCTTGTAGGACACTCTTGTGGGGCACTCTTGCGGGACACTCTTGTGGGACACTCTTGTAGGAAACTCTTGTGGGATACTCTTGTAGGACACTCTTGCGGGACACTCTTGTAGGACACTCTTGTGGGACACTCTTGTAGGGCACTCTTGTGGGACACTCTTGTGGGACACTCTTGTAGGAAACTCTTGTGGGACACTCTTGTAGGACACTCTTATGAGACACTCTTATAGGACACTCTTAAGGGACACTCTTAAGGGACACTCTTGTGAAACACTCTTGTGGGACACTCTTGTGGGACACTCTTGTGGGACACTCTCACGGGAAACTCTTGTAGGACACTCTTGTGGGACACTCTTAAGGGACACTCTTGTGAGACACTCTTGTGGGACACTGTTGCGGGACACTCTTGTGGGACACTCTTGTGGGACACACTTGTAGGACACTCTTGTGGGACACTCATACGGGACAAGTCTTGTGGGACACTCTTGTAGGACACTCTTGTGGGACACTCTTGTGGGACACTCTTGCGGGACACTCTTGTAGGAAACTCTTGTGGGATACTCTTGTAGGACACTCTTGTGGGACACTCTTGTAGGACACTCTTGTGGGGCACTCCTGTAGGACACTCTTGTGGGACACTCTTGTGATGTGGGACACTCTTGTAGGAAACTCTTGTGGGACACTGTTGTAGGACACTCTTGTGTGACACTCTTATAGGACACTCTTGTGGGACACTCTTAAGGGACACTCTGGTGAGACACTCTTGTGGGACACTGTTGCGGGACACTCTTGTGGGACACTCATACGGGACACTCTTGTGAGACACTCTTGTGGGACACTCTTGTAGGACACACTTGTGGGACACTCTTGTGGGGCACTCTTGTGGGACACTCTTACGGGACACTCTTGTGGGACACTCTTGTGGGACACTCTTCTGGGACACTCTTGTGGGACACTCTTGTGGGACACTCTAGTAGGAAAC